ACCCCCCACCCCCCCCGTCTGAGCATGCCCAAAAAGCCCGGGCTGAATATGGTTAATTTTTTGGGAAAAAAAGACTGTTAAAATAATTATATCAAGGAGAAATAACTAGCTGTTTAATTTCGAAAATTCGATTTAATGTCAACGAACTTCTTACTGTGAGAAAGGCATGTTGATATTGTCGTATTGTAACTTTATGTTACGCATAGCCCATTACCTGTTTGGCAAGGTGTTCGGCATCTTTTGACACATTTTGACAGGTATCGAGGGTCTGCAGTGAATTAGGAGGAGTACGTTAAAGACAGAAATCAACCATTTCACTTTGTTGAAACATATAAACAATCATTATATATAACCGGAACAGCACTATCGTGTATCGCGTTGTATGCGTATCTATGCGTATGTATTTTGTTGAACATCGATAAGAAAAAAAACATTGTCTCTGGAGATGATACCTTCCGTGAAGCGATTCTCAGGTTAACGCCAAGTTTGGGAGCCGCCATCATGTAGGAATGAGTGATGTTGTTACTGTCTCCAACCCAGGCAACAGTCAAGCCTTTCAGGCCTCCAAAATGTTCCTACATGAACGGAAAAACAAGGCATCATTACAGACATATTAACTCAACCTTTGTATCAAGTAATCTCCAAACAGACATTTCTTGCGAAAAGCTGCAACATGAATACATTTGTCACTTAAAAATATTATGTAACGTTAATGTAAGTTTTATATTATGTTGATGTATTTGTATGTTCAATATGTTTAAAAGTGCCCGCGCCAACTTTGATTTCACCTAGCGCCTAAACGGCTAGCCGTAGAACGGCCAAACTTGGTGACGTGTCCTAGAATATTGTTAGCAACAATTCCGTATCATTGGTATAAGATAATGATATTTTGTGTTGCCATGACAACGGGTTTCTGGCAGGCATTTTTTGCTAAATTTAGTACTTTTTGTTTCAACAATAGAATTTTATGGGTTTTATGTTAAGTAACTTATGGTTTCTAATATTAATAACATCCCATATATTTTTATGTAAATTTTGTCATTAAATATGCAAAATTCTCAATTCTAACCAACATATAAAAATGGAATAGTACTGTTATATATATAGTTCAAAGTACTAGATGGGACTCCGTGCCTACTTGTAGTGTTTGCATGTCTGCTAGGATCTGTAGTGGGTGGTAGAGTTCCGACAGCGCGTTCACGACTGGGACACTTCCCTCTGCAGCTAAGGATTCCACATCTTCGTGCTTACACATTCTGGCAAGTATGAGGTTCACAAACCCTGACAAAACCCTGCAGAAATAAAAAAAAAAATCGAAACGTCCTGGACATGGCATCTATTATAACAGCTGTTTACATGTTTTACAAGGAAATCCTGCAGTTTTTAGGATCTATTTTATTTTCTAGGTTTCACTGGTGAATGGAAAAGCAAACATAAAAATGGTCATAAGAGTAATAACCTACGTTATGTGTATTATAAACAACACTTGTCTTTTCTGCAGGGATATGTAAACGCACTCGACACAAATGTCAAAAATGATCTAAATGCACATATGATTAAAATAAGCCACACATTGGCACAAGTTTACACTTTCCACATGCACTCTACAATCGCAGTCTACATGCACACATAAAAGTTGCCCACCATGCACGGAAAGCATATTCAAATTCCTAAGGTCCAAATATCACACCTGAACACGTACATAGATTATTCCATAAAGCCTTACTTAGCTGAGTCTTTGATAGTTTCATTCACACCCATATGGATGTCTTCAGGAGATAGGAAATATGACTTTCCACCCAGCATGTTAACACCTGTGTTTAAAACATGGTGATATTAATAAGGCCACAGCAAGTAATTTTCATAGAAGACATCAGCGAACGCATTAATTTACGCCAGATGTTGAACATAATTTTTTGGAGGTTTCCCCCCCCCCCTCTGACAGCGGTCAACATGCCAAAAATAGGCGTCACATGCCGGAACGTGAATGACAAATAAACATGATGAGAGGGAACAAAAAACGGCTCCGATTTATTGTTTTGTCGTTTATCACTACTACATCAGTGCAGTAATTGAGGAGTATTTAATCCTTTTATATGTAATGGTAACTGTGTATGTGTGATGTTACTACTGAATCAAACCATTTGTATAATAATGATTCAAAACGTTTTTCCAAATATGTTTTAGTAACCAATGGTTGTTGTAATAGTTGGCAGTAAACATGTGCAAAAATATATGCATTATTTTCTTGTTTATGATTTCAAAATTTGAAATGCAGGAACCATGTTTTTTGGGCAAACCTTGATTTTATTGCATAATCGCATTATATTTGGAATCGGCGGAAAATGTCATCCATATCATTGACTTGCTGTGGCCTAACCAGCAAAGCAGAATGTTAAGAAATCCATATGTATTGAAAATATAAGAAAACGATACTTAACGTTTCTATGTTTTTTACATCTTATTACATCTTTGGACATTTGATATAAACGTCGCTCATGAGTTTATGTTTTAACGACAAGACAATAAATGTTCTGACATATGGAAAATAAATTCGACAATGACGACCTTTAATTACATCTAAATGATAATGATGATTTAGTTTTGGCTGCTGTCCTGCCAGCCGATGTATGTGATATCAATTTATCCTGTACTGACAAGACCCACAGCAGTGCCACCAAAAACACTATTCCCTGTACTCAGAATTAAACTGTAACCAGTAAATACTGTAAAAGTCTAGCAGAGCCTGGTCTCCTTTGGTTTATTGAATGTAATGCGTAAATGTAAGAAATCCGCCTTACGGCTTACCTGTCTCAGTGGACAACCTGGTTCGAATGCTCCTCTTTTGGAAGATGATAGCAGCATACTTTCCCTCTAGTGGTGTGTACACCTGTCAGTAAAATATTCTGAACTGTACTGGTAGTTTATTTGTACCACACACAACCCCAGATCAATATTTTTTTTAGTTATAGCGTATTATTTTTTTCTTGCGAGAGTTTTGCATAGTGGCGTCACACCACAGACTACTATCAGATCAATTCTAAAAGAACATTCGTTGTTGTGAGTAGCTAAATCCATCTTTAATTCATTTTCTTGGACATACATAAAAGAAAATTCACAACCTGAAATGCTACGATAGTTTATTAGTTAACACAAAAACCAGATACATCCGGACCCTGATATGTTTAAGAATACTTCTAGGTCATATCGTGACAACTTCGTGTTTTTACTTTTATTAATTTATCACACGGTTATTTTTTAAATGCCATAAATGAGCAACATCTCAGTGCCAGGGAAAACAGAAAAATATTGTTTCAACTACCATGCACCGTCTGAGTTTCCTTTACCTCTCCCCTCTCCTTGATCCTGGTCTTTAAGTCAGCTGCAGTCCACAGGATTTGCTCAATCTCTGGCGGTGTGAAGTCTTTCAGTGTCAGCAAGCTTCGACCGACCAAAGACACATGCCCGCTATATATCAGGAAAGCAAGATTGGAAGTTATCCAACTCTATAAAGGATTTAAATTATCGACCATATGTTTCTGTTTATATCAGCTCTTTTGCCCAGGTGTTATAAATAATTAAATTTTGAAAAAAATAGTCACTTGCCTAGGTCAAAGCCGGCACTACCTCCTGAACAGAGGCGTAACAAATCTGGATCTTTAAAGGTCTCAGAATTTATTATCTTTTAGTGTCTACGTCAAACAAAATTTCTCAAAGAGTTCATAATTCCGTAGACTAATTTTGTGTGAAGAGTAAAAGAGGCCATCGGAACACCAACCTTCTCTAGTACAGTACAGTACAGTACAGTTTTTCAACGAACTTTGACCCAGTGATGACGTCACGCCTAAATTCACGTGTATTAAGATTCACTTGGCTCAGATAACTAATGATGAACTTCGAAAATTCCGTTGCTGCATTCATTAGGGTTAAGAGAAAATTTTGTTTCCCAAAAAAGGAATTGAAATCCTCTGGCCAGCCAAGCTATTTAATTAAATAATGTGTCAAGTACGCCCGCACTTCACCATTTCCCTCTGTCCATAGCTATAGACTGCTTGTTGAAAACGGGTAAGTTTTTGGCAGTCGAGAATGCTAGGCAGCTGTTAGAAATTAGATAACGATCATATAACATGATACAAAGAATACAGGCATAACATCGCATGTTTAGCCCCCAAAAGGCAAGCTCTGGAGTCTGGTATGTTCATACCAATGAAGTAATCCTCTTACGCAACAGTCGTGTAATGAAGCCCCGTGTTAATATGTACCTATTATGTTACATCTATGAAAATCTACAGCTGTCATCTCAAAAGAATTAGGTCTAGATAAACGTTAACCCTATCTAGACTCGGCTTTTTAATAATTTTGATCTTACTATGATTAACCAATATATGTGCAAAGATCACTGAAAGAATGCAAAAAGGAATATAAATTTGAAAGAAACCAAATGGGGTCCATTTGGACCCTGTTCGGGCATAAACGTCACAAAAAAAGTTCGGGTGTTTGAGGGTTAAGGTCTACCTAAATGTACATAAAATGACGTCATGCATATTTAAACTGTCCGTCATCTTGGATTGTCAATATTAAATTTTGAAAAAAAAAACTTTTTTTTCAAGATAAAGCCTAAAACTACAATGGAAATAGAGTACAGGGATTCAAATTAACCATTTTTAAAAAATCGAAGTTGGGGTAATTTTTTTAGAAAAATAGCCGGAATGTACCTGATCTAATGATACGGTCCGCCATCTAAAATTTTGGCCAATAACATCATCACATTGCAAGAAACCATGCATAATTATTGATAGAAATTAAATGAATTATGTAAGATGTTATTAATATTCAAAAACATGTGTAAATTAACATTTAAGCCTGGAAATTTCATTGTTTAAGTCAAAAATTCCAGATTTTGAAAAAAAATTCATGTCAAAAACCCGTTGCCATGGTGACCCTAAAATGATTAGTTTATCTCATTGCTATGAAATTGTTCGCCACAATATTTTAGAAATAGTCACCAAGTTTAATGGCCCTAGCACAAGCCGCTCGGACGTTATCTGACATCAAATTTGGCGCGGGCACTTTTACCCCCCCCTGTCTAGATAGGGTTAAAGATGTTGAAAAGTTGGTCGTCTATATAGCGCTAATGTATGATGGTTGGAAATGATCTAAATGTAATTTTTTAAATGCTTTCTTATTCTCATACACTAAACAACTAAGCAAGAAAGCAAGGAGAATACTATGACTATGCAGTCAACAGGCTATATAAACTGAGATGCCACATATTTCGATCGCCGGATTTTAGAGGATTTAGCATTAACATTAACAGCCATTCAGTATAAGAATTATTTTGCAGAAAATAAGAAATAATTCAAAACCTACATACCTCTTTTGCCTCTCTCCACTCTTCTGTCCAAGGACTTGGACCATTGGGAAGACCTTTTTTCTCAACATACCGCGCACAAGCGGCTTCCCCCGAAGAGCAAAACTGAGCAACGCCATGACTTATTGCAGACTTGGCTTCGGCACAAGTACCAGTTATCACGACTATCTACGCACAAAAGGGCTTATATTCGAACCCCAGATGTTGGCATGTTGCTGATAAGATTATACCCGCCTAACCCGAAGTGTATCCCTCGGTGAATTGTTAATTATATTAGCGTATGCAACCGGTGCTGAATATGGCTATAATTGTTCTGTTGGTGATATTGAAGCAGGGAAGTCGGCATGCTGAAGCCTGAGTCTGCACTTATTATTATCAGGAACCAGGCCAGCGGAGAAAGCACGTTTCATGGCAACGGTTTCTAGGAAACAAATGTTCTCTAACAAACTAAAATCCAAGCAGATCTTTTGGTGGGGGTAAGACAGTAACACATTGGCCAGTCTGTAACCATTTCCCCACCCAAGATCTGTCTGCAGTCGAAACGTCAAAGGCTATTAACACCTAGTTGTTGCCTGATCAAAATATTTTTGCCAAGAAGTTTATTGCCCTGACCACCAGGCAAGGCTCTTGCCCTCCTAGTGGGCCAGCTGGTTGAGCATTACAGGAAGTCTCTCTGTGGATCCCCTCACCAACTGTTATTTTGGACAGTTTAACTAAATAAAAATAAGGTGCAACATATGTTTTGTGATTGTTATTGACAGTTATTGACAATTCTATGTTTCACATATTTTACTACCAGCATACAGAATTATCTGGACAGGGTTAGGTGAGAACTCCCACTGAGATGTGCGCGGGTGACTGCATTTGTCCCAGATTCAAGCCATAAACCAATTGTATAAATCTTAGCACAACAAATCTTTGTTAGCTGTTAATAGGGACAGAAACACCATTTTTGAAAAGAAGTGCTCCTCCCTGTGCGAGTGCAGGCAGATCTTGGGTTGGGAAATGTTAACAGACTGGCCAATTTGATACTGTCTTACCCCCACCAAAAGATCTGCTTGGAGATTATAACAAACAGCTATACCCATATAATCTATTTCTATAAAACATATTTCGTCTGGTGCGCTTCCATAAAATCTTATTCAAAACTGGATATAATCTGCATAATTTACGAGGAACGATTTAAACGGCCCAACGCTAATTGTCGTTTGATACAACTTTATTGCCATTAACATATTAAGTGTGTCACATTTTATCCTCACAACATTTGTACTCTCAGCACTTTAAGCTACTGTCACGTAGAACGATTTTTTACTTTAACATCTCCTTTGAATGGCTTTAACCCTAAACAGTACACCTGGGGTCCGCGCGGACCCCAGCACTATATATTCTATAATATCTTTTTTGTTTCTAAAGATTTTTTTCTGAAATTTTAGGTACTTGTCACCCACAAAGTTGTCTCTCAATACAGTGCAGAAAACTCCGTTTATACCATTTGTAAAAAAATTAAATCTGATTTTCTTTTGGGGTCCGCGCGGACCCCAGCCGGCTTTCGATCATAATGGATACACTGGCGTTCTAATACATTACCTTATTTCCGTTTTTATATGTTTTTATGCATTCATCGTATGTCTACCAAGTTTTCAGAGAATGGTGTAGTAATAAAATTAAATTTTAATAACTTTGGTGTAATTATGACGTCATATGACGTCAGAGCTAATAATATAGTCCGCCATATTGGATTTTGACCAATGACGTCATCAAATTAGCATATTCTATGCATATTAAATAATTTAACTTATATCTAATTATGTAAGATGTTATTAATGTTGGAAAAGAAGTGTAATTTTATATAAAATTATGTTTAAACCAAAATTACTTCTATTTTCAAAAAAACTACCCGTTGCCATGGCAACACAAAAAAAACATCAACTTACTAGTACAAAACTAATATGAACTTTTTTCCAGAGACATTTTAGGAAAGGTCTCCAAATTTGATACTTCTAGCGCAAGCCGTTTAGCCGCTATCTGAGATCAAAGTTGGGCCTCAAAAGCCCCTTCAGTCTGAAATGGGTTTAAAAATCGGGTATTTCTTCTTCCCTTCTTTTCTTCACCAAAAAATAGAAAAAGTTCAAAATGTATGATTTTTGTATGTAATGTGGACACAGAGGTTCCCACATCAGTTTGCAAAACAATTGAGCTGGTAGCATGTTGATAATTTCTAAAAATTAGCAAAAAACTGCTCTGGGGTCCGCGCGGACCCCAGGTGTACAGATTAATCAGTCCCGGAAGGTGTACTGTTGAGGATTAAGCCAATTGCTATACCTCTCAGATAAACGTTGTAGTCACTGCTCTTTCTTTATAGTTAACAGACGCATTTAGTAATAGGCACAATGTTTCATTCTTTGGTTATGTAGGTAGTACTACATGCACTTGAACATCATCACTAGTCTTAAAACGTATTTAAGGTTTTCAATTGTTTGATACTGAATGTCAATGACATAATTGTTAAACACATTTCCAACAAAATATTTGCACGTCGAGTCATCCATTTGTCAATAAAGATGTTATATAAGTTGCATTCTAAATGTTATACTTTTTACGATATTGTAAATTCTTGTTTTCAAATTCAAATCTATCATCTGCTGACGCCTTGAAGATCAATTCATTACACTCCATCTCAACATAAATCATTTCTTACATTTACATAAATTGTTATCAGTTACATTATGAAGAACATGATGTTGGCTTCTCTTGAAAAACAAAGCTACTTATTGATTGCGCATACTATTGTTATGTACTATTGTATTGATACAATTCTTTTGCCTCCAATATCTTAATTTTTTGGTCCTCTATAAAACTAAATTAAAATTTCCAGGCCTCTAATCATCAACCTGACAAAGGTAATTATGATAAGCTATAAAGATGTTTACAAGACGTTAAAGAGGTTCACACGAATAATTGTAAAATAGTACACTTATTTATATAAGGCCACAGCAAGTATTCTTTTAATGGATGACATTAGCGCGCGCATTAATTTTCGTCTAATTTGGGAAAAGGACAACAAGGAATTTCGTTGCCCTCTGACAGTGGTCAACATGCCGAAAATGGGCAATGCCCGAGGGTGGATGGCAGATAAATATGAAGAGAGAAGACAAAACAAGGTTCTAGGATTTAATGTTTTGTCTTTTACTTTGATGTAGTAAAGTAGTTAATTCTTTTTTAATGTTATGGTGGCTGTGTATATGTGATTTTTTCGGGTTTTGGATCGCACACAGGCTTTTGTAATAGTTGGCAGTAAAGTTAGCACAATATATGTATCATTCTTTGTTTAATAAGGTTTAGGATGTGAAGTTTGAAAATGAATGAATCTTTTCTTTTGCCGCCTTGTTTTCTGCAGAGGATGTCATCCATACAATTTACTTGTTTTGGCCTAATTGTCTCATGTTACGTTAACCATTAATTTAAAAGCCGCTGTCACACGTCCACGACGTTTCCCCGAATTTGTTCCCAACACCAGCTTACCATTTTGCCCGACGTTTAATAACACCACTACCAATTTCAATCTTCCATACGAATGGAAACGGCTTTGAGTTAAATGTCAGACAAATTTGACCCCCACCCCAACACTGCGGACTTACTCCCGAATGGTTGGCTGATGTTTTGCTAACTTACGTCTGGCTGTACCTCCCGACCAACCAACAAATGCATTAAACATTTTAAGCATATTCAACGGCCCCAGAAGATGTTCAGAGGACTCACTCCTAACCAAGATCGTCGGGCATTTGGCTTGTGTTTAGGAGGCCAATTTCGTGAACGTGTGACCCCTGTACTCTGGTAGACCTCATTTGCCCAATATCCGCCTTTACCGTCCGCAGCACAGACTGTGGACGATCCGTACTTCTGGTATGTGTGGTGGGCATCAGGACCCCCGAAACATTGTCCACCGTGTTGTAGAGCAAACACAGTATAACCACGAGAACGTGCGACCTGGTAACACTTTTCGATGGCGTTCAGACGTGAACGGTACATACCGTCTAAGCGCGGATCTGTCCCCTCCAGACACGGAATGGCGCGGGAAGATTTGTCCCTCCAACAACCCAGGCTGGTGTACTTGGGGCGGTCGCTTTCTGTGTCGCTTTCTGTGGGGAAGAAGACGTTATGTTATCTTAGGATGTAGCTTTATGTTTCCTTGATATAGAAGAGATGAATGCGAGTAAATTAGGAATCTATAATAGATTCCTAAAAAACTTTGTTACTAAGTAGATCTGCATGAGACCCCAATATGACTTCATCTTTCTAGCAGCTTGTTAACCCTAGATATATCTAGACTGGGCTTTTTGGGGATCTTTGGGACGGGGAGGGGCTCATTCGAGGAAAATAGCCGGAATTTACGTAAAATATAATGATATGGTCTACCCTCTTGGATTTTGGCCAATGTCGTCCTCAAATTAGCATAAATTATGCAAAATTATGATAAAAAAATACATGAAATTATATAGGATGTTATTAGATATGTAAACATAAAAGCCTAAAAAATTAAATGTTTCAGTCAAAATTACTGATTTTTGCAAAAAAATGTATGTAAGAAACCCGCTGCCATGACAACATGACAAATCATTCATTTATCTCAATGCTATGAAATTGTTTGCAACAATATTGAAAGAAAAGTCATCAAGTTTGGTGGCCCTAGCACTAGCCGCTCGGACGTTCCCTGGCATCAAAGTTGGCGCGGGCACTTTTAGCCCCCCCCCCCCCAGTCTATATAGGGTTAAAGTACTGCAAAATTAAGTGTAGCTTAAAGGGCACTTAGGTTACGTTGTTTTTCTTGTCGGCTACGCGTGGTACATCAACATGCAAAATTGTGAATATAGAGCTGTTTTTTTTTTTATTATTGTTCATTCACATGAAAAAAAAGATACAGGACATGGTGGTGTCGCACTCAAGTGGAAGGCACTTATGTTGACGGCACCACTAAATAAATACATATAATAAAGAAAAAAAAACAATCGCAACTTTAAGACAGGCAAAAAACAGTAAATACAAGAACTTCAAGAGCGCATGCCCGGTTCCCCACCCAATGATAAATGATGGCAAAGAGGACACAGTACATAAATAA